AAGTGCAGCTAAAGATTTTCAGTATGACAAATGGTTGGAACAAATGGTGTGACGGTTTGTTTCTGCACACTGAGTTGTAGAGCTGTATCCAACCCACTTTGGTTTCCTTTGTGGAGTAAATGGTTGGAACAAATGGTGTGATGGTTTGTTTCTGCACACTGAGTTCTAGAGCTGTACCCAACCCACTTTGGTTTCCTTTGTGGAGTCTAGAGATACTGCATTTCTAATCAGAGGTGGGATTCATTATTTCTAGTGTTCTGGTGCTGGTAATGTTAGTTCAACATCTAAATCTTCTGTTTCACAGGGGTTTACAGATGACCAACTAGCACTGGTGGAGCAAAACACTCTCATGGTGGAAGAGCGAGAGCGAGAAATCCGACAGATTGTACAGTCCATCTCTGACCTCAACGAGATATTTAGGGACCTGGGAGCAATGATAGTAGAACAGGTATGCTGACATCACAGTGTTGTAAGAAACAGCAGGTTCCATGTAGTGTTCAGTTTTCCAGACCTGCTGTTTTCATGTGCTTCTCACTTTTCCCAGCTTAACATCTTCAGGCTAAGGTATCCTGTGCTTGAAATCTGTCAGGTGTTAATGAAAATCCATCAAAATTCAACTGGTAATGAGTGTTAGAATGAAAACAAAAGCCAAAGTTTTGTTGGTTATTTCTCCCAGAGGCTCAGTTTAGGTTAAATGTGTCAGCCAAAAGCACCTGAACCAGAAGTAAGGAATTAAGGGATGTGACATGAGGTGGTGACAGAGCTGCCAGTTAGGCACTTAGCAAAGTTATTTAGTGAAGTCCCAACTAGTTCTGTGAAAGTTCAGCCTTTACACAGTTCATTAACTGTTTACTGTGTGTTGTTAATTGCTGCTTATAATAATAACTGCTTCATGAAGTTCATTTGGGTTCAAGCTGATGCTCATTCTCTCCATTTGTCTAGGGAACAGTTCTAGACAGAATTGACTACAATATCGAACAGTCATGTATGAAGACTGAAGAGGGTCTAAAACAACTACATAAGGTAAGCTGATGGAATACTTAAGCTGTTTTGCACGTCCAATACTCTTCCATAATTTAATAGCTATTCAGTTACTCAGTCCATTTCCAGCTGGACATCATCCCTTTAGAAGTTACTGCTGCACAGCATAGTGTCCAGCTGTGCTGCAGTAGGAGCTTTCCATACAACTTCTGTTAATGTCATGCTTGATGCCTAGTGTTAATTTCTTAAATGACTTTTTGGGCATCCAGGCAATGTGCTTTGATCTTTGTATTGCTGACCTGGTGGCACATAGCTGCAATTCCTGCTCTGCTTGGAGAGCCAGGCAGTTGTGGAGTAGGACTGGTCACTGGGGACCTCACTGTAGCTTTCAGGCAGTTGATCCATACCCGTTTGAAAACAGCTTAGTGATGTGAGCACTATTCTGTGGGAATTGCTTGCAATATCCATGGTCAGTGGTGTGAGCATTATTTTGTGGGAATTGCTTGCAATATCCATGGTATGAAATATCACCTTACCAAAGTACAATTCTGAAACACATGTGCTTCACTTACACTACACGAATCTGTCCTTCAGCTCTGCAGAAATGTAGGTATTAACCCTCTGTGTTCTGTTTTGTAGGCAGAGCAATATCAAAAGAAGAATCGGAAGATGCTCGTTATTTTAATTTTGTTTGTTATAGTAATTGTCCTTATCGTTGTTCTTATCGGTGTCAAGTCACACTAGGTTTTGCTTCATTTTCTCGTTTTTTTTGGAGTTTCTGTGAACTTTTTTTCCCCAATGTGAATGGATGGACCTGCACTCCAGAAAGCTGCCTCTGAATGCACGAGCCCTCGTGGTGCCACGTCTGTGCGATGTGTCTGTAGCATCCTTCAGAGTACAAGTTTGGTGAGCTGTGAGGTGTTTGTAAAGGTTTATGTGGAAAATGTCAGGAAATTTGATGCTCCCACAAAAATAACTCGGAGGTATTTGGAAACACAGTACTTAAAATGAATTAAAACCTGAAGTTTACCAGTGAGTACAATAATTAGTGTGTTACTGTGAACAAAACTGTGTTGTCTTCTGTATTCTTATGTCAGTTGTTACAGGCTTCAAATTTAAACCATGTTACGGAGTCAGTGGGACTAGGTATCAAAACTTGATCTAGGTGGAAAATATGCTGAGGCACAAAATTGACTTAATCCCCTTTCTTCCAGACTCAAAAACTCCAAAGAACTGGATAGAGAGCTAAAACAGAAAGCTTTCAGCAACCAGAACGTAATCCAACCCCTGTGATCTTAATTTAGATACTGCACCATTACTAAGAATCAGTGGTACTTGATCTTGTAAATAACAAGATGTAATCACTGGCATAATTTAACGCTTTTAGTTAATTAAAAAATTTTCTGAGCTTGAGTAATCATGGGAATGATTTTTCTCACCAGGATGATCATGTATTTTTTCATGCAGATTTTTTTTTTAGTTTAATACAGACATGACATTAAATCAGTGGTGAAATTAAAAAACAGAGTAGAAACCCAAAAAGAGAATCTCTCTGGCCTGCTGTAGTGGGTATCGGGTGTTTCAGGCTTTAGTTGCTGTCTGAGCTTTTTATTTTACAGTGCATTTGTCCATATGGGTTATGGGTTTTGTATCAGTGACTTCACTACAGTGTATACTAGATCCACTTTCCTTGACAGAAGATTCTCTTTCAAATGTCAGCCTGGAAGAGGACGAGTTTATGGTCAGTTCCTGACCATCAGAGATGTCATGCAAGTGACATGTTACTAGGCCTTCAGTGGAGAATTTGGGGGTTCTTTTCACTATTTTTTTCAGTGGAAACCTTTGCTGTAGGCCAGAAAAGAGAAATTAGGGCAACATCTAATACAGTACTGACTGAATTCAGGCCTGAAGTGGTGTGCAATTGTAGAGGCCTTGTCTTAATATTTTTACTATGGCTTTTTTATATGGTTTTGGGGTTTTTTTCCCAAAGGGACTGTGACTTCCTTCCTTTTCTGACTAATACAGTGCTCCCCACCAACTTGCAGAGATGCTCTGCTCCAAGCCCTTAAGTGCAGTTTCACAACACTATGATATTGCACATGTTGCCTGCCCTGAGTTTCTTTACTGTGTACTAAGGACTTGAGACATGGCTTTAAAATGACCATTTTCAGGAAGGGACCTGAAAGCAAGGACTGCAAAGACAGGAAAGCTTTGGCTTTTTTGTGGGGCTTACGAGAAGCTTTGTACCACTCCTGTTACCTCTAGGCAAAGGGGATGTTGAACTCCCAAAACTGCCAGTTCAAACTCTTTGTTCAGTTGGTGGATTGGTAAAAGCGAGGATGAGGCTTGTGGTTGGGTGTGCAGCTCCCCTGTTCTGGTGATAGATCTTTTCAATGATCGTGAGTGAAACTACTGTCTCCCCAGTGCTGTTACATCACTTGGTGTGAAGCAGCATATTGCTATAATTTAATATACTGTATTTGCAACTTTCTCTCTAACATGAGATCGTGTTATTTATTTCTGTCTTGACTGGTGCTTTGACATTTTATCATGGCAAATGAATTCAAAGAAGTAATAAAACACTTCCAACCTAATTGGGCAATTATTCTTTTTCTTTTTGAAATTATAAACTGAAACATAACTTTGGTGATGTTAATGTGTTTCTGTGCTTCGTAATAAAGTGGCAGTGACATGGAATATCTTTTTTTAAAGAAAAAGTAACTTTCTGTGGCACAAGAGTTATTGCCCATGAGTTATGCCCGTGGTGTCCTAACTCCACGGAGGTAACTGGCTACGTATTTTCTATCCAAATTCTGTAGAAGGAAATGCATTTTTATATGCATCAGAGAAGAGGTTAAACTCAGATGTCAAGAGTCCTGTGTAACTTGAGCTGGAATTTATTGAGGCTGATATGTTTGAGGAAGAAACCCCACAACAGGCTTCTAAATCATTGCAGGTGTGTGTAGCTTGTTCTGAGTCAGTCTGAGTAACTCTCAGCAGCTAAATCAAACCCTTGTGCTGTGCTTTTTGGGAATATCTCCACGTGGCCTGCGGTGCTGTCTGTGCCTTTGGGCAATGAAAGCCCAAAATGCCACTGCAGCTGGAGATTAGCTTGGCTTTACCAGCAGCTGCTGCCTGCTCAGGTGTTCCAGGAGCAAGAGCTGCCTGAACCTTCTGCCTGCACTTCTGTCCAGCCCTGTAACCATCTGTGTGCTGCTGCAGAGAAGCTGGTACCCTCTCTCCTGCAGCTTGGGGCATCTTCGTGGTTGCTGGATCTTCTCAGCTTGCATGGAAGCTCCAATTCCTTACAAAGGAACAGAACAGCTAGAGCATCTCCCGGGAGCCTGTGTCTCCTCAGCTGGTGGGAATGGGCTGTAAAGGTGTTGGCTTGTACAGAATTTCTCCATTAAGATGCATGTGAGAGTGCAAAAACTGAGCTGCTGCTTTTTAACAGAAATCAATTACAGTCCTGTGTGAAAAGGAGAGTATTAAAAGCACTGTGACAGCAAATTTATTTCTACTGCAAGTTTTTGATAGAAATTGAAAGGTAAAATGGAAGCATTGGTTTCTTGCTTGGTGAGTTTTGGAATGTGCTGTAAAATTTGGATGACGATGACTGATGCAGTGTTCACTGAGATTGGCACTGTATTGATTTAAGGTTTGCTTTTACAAACCAATTAACACAAAGGAGTCTGATCTCCTTTGCTTGTATCTTTGGAAACTTTGCTTTTGGTACAGCCTTGCAAAATGCAAGTTCTTGGATAGGTGGCAGTGAAACCGATTTTTACGGAGAAAAAAAATGTATATTTGCTATAAGAAAAATCCCACAAACCCAATAGCCTTCTTCAATAAAATTCCTTAAAGCAGGCAATTCATTACTTTGCATATTCATTGTGATGAACTATGGACATAATGTTTTAGTGGCTTAATTCCATGAAGACTTGTAGAGGATCAGTAATTGGAAGACTGGTCCATACAAACAGAAACATTTGCAGGTGGTGCTGGTGGGACATTCACAGAGTTTCTGTAGAGAGTATTGATTTCCTCAGCCCATTCCCTTCCCTCCTCTGCTGTCCTTAACTGTAATAAAAGAAGGATCACGGGTTAGGTGTTTCTTGCTGGTTTGTTTACCTTTCAGATACTGTGGATTCAGGGAATGTGCTGTATTTGGACTCTGACAGTAGCAGGAACAGCAGGATTTGTGCTCAGTGACTGGGAGCTCACTGCCTGGCAGGATCTTGGGAATGTCTCAATCCGGAAATAATCGCTGTGTGTTCCTGTCATCTCCCACACTGCTCATATGGATTGGGATCATACTGAACCACTGAACAGTTTATGGCTCAGAAAAGCAACTCGTTAAACTTGGACCTTGCTGAGTTAGCCATCCCATCTGTGAGGATGCACAACTGACCTCTGCAACAGTTGTGTCTACAACTTTTATTCGGGGTTATTTTAAATGTACCTAAAGTTTCCATAATGTCCCTTCAGAGACTGAGTAAGACCTTACTCTAAGGAATATTTTTTAAATGGAATTCAGCCTTTTTTTTTTCTTCTTAGATGTATTTCCACTATATGCATCAGGATTCACTTTCCAGCCTAAGCTGACGTGGGCTCCCTGTCTTATTCAGACCTTCCCACCTTTCCTAGCTGCAGATTAACGAGTATCAATTCCCTCCTAACCAAACATTAATAACAGCTGCTCAGCAAATACAAAAAGATTAGAAAAAAAAATCCCCTCTTACCTTCCAACCTAACATTTAAGTTCACTACTACAACTGGCATTAAAAAAACCACTTTCTGGGCAGTGGATCTGTGCTGTGCCAGAGCCTGTTTGGGCATTTTTGGCATTTTCCCGTGTCCCGGGGCGAGCGGCACAGGCTGTGAGTGCCCCGCGCGGGGAGAGCGCACCGGGGCCGGTTCGGAGG